GTATGCTTATACATTTATTGAGCATTTATTTATTTCTGTATTTATTTTTAAATATGGCAGAGTTGGTCCTTCATATACAGCAACATCAGGTTCTGCTGAAATTATCTGGATACAAAATGATTTATTGCATTCCTCATTCAGTAGCAGATATTTCCAAGATAGCTTGGATGCTTCTAGACGCCATGTGGTCTTTTAAATTTGATGTGGACGTGGCCGACGTACGGACTTGGTTGTTAAGTTTCATTGGGCAAAGTTTGCACAAAAATGTGAGTTCTTTTTCTGGCCCAGTCTTCCTTTACTAGTTTGTCAACTCTGCCAAGCGCTTTGCTAAACTGGCATCAGAAATACCAGAGGATGAGTCTGAATGGAGCAGACTAGTACTAGCAGTAAACATTCTGCTCTGTCAGGCTGTTTGCTGTAATAAGTGCCGTAAAACCTGACGTTATCCGATGAAAAGTGTCGTCAATTGAACGCAAACCCTGAGCTGTGTGTGTCTCGCTCATTCTTCTTAGGCTGAATCCCAAGCCGCCCCCTAAGCACTATCCCTTCACTATCAAGTGTCACTCACAATAAAGTCACTCTCACAGCTGTGGAAAGCGCCTGGGTTGTACAGAGGGGAGGTGGTATAAACTACTGTAAATATTTCAATAGCAACTCAGTGTGTCGCTGTAGCTCTGTGGTTAACATAACATCAAGCATTTGGCATTTTCTTCAAAGTAAATCTAACCAGTTTAATAAAACTATTATTTTTCCTGACTTGTGATTTTCTGTCAGTGGGTCGAAGATGCAACAAAGCAGCAGGACTTACATTTGAAGGAAGGTGTTTCCTCCACAATCAAGCCAATCAAACCTCCGACTCAAAACTTTCCTCCTCTTGCATGTTTCCGCTGTCCATAGCGTTCCTTTACAGTGTTGTTGCTATCTGCTACTTGGTCCCAATGTAATTTCCCATTGGGAACCTACGAGCACTAGGTTTCTAACTTGTCAGCAAGATGCTGCTGAGACACTGGCCACAACTAAACTTGCTTTTGAACCTCCCGCCCCCTTGATAAACGACCAATCACATTCACTTTATTCACTTATGTAAAGTTGGTCATCATTCGGGAGAATTCGGAAATGCAACAGTTGGAACAGCCACTTCCCTACGACTTTAAGGCCTGAACGGTCACTCGCCCTACCCACTATGGGGTTTGGGATGGCACTGAATGTGGCGGACTCTATGTGGGAACCCTCAAACACAGAGTTAGTGTTTAGGGGCCGGTTTGGGATTCAGCCTCAGTGTGAATGTTGCAGTGAGAGCCATTCATTGAAGGCATTCATGCAGGACACTGTTAACACCTCCATAATCACTGTTGACTGAGTTTTTTTTATATTTTAAAATAACAAAATAAACATAGAGTTTACATTTTAAAATCATCTTACGATTTTAGATTTATTTTTGCTCATAATAGTTAGCACCGCTATTATGGCAGTTTGCATGCAGTATTAATATAAACTGTCAACAATTTAAAAAAAAAGCATAGAGATCAGTGTTGCTTTCATCAACGATGATGATAATGAAATTATTTTTTTGACGCTCTATTTTTTTATTATGAAAACAAAAACTGATGAGCTAAATGTGGATCTTTGTTGATGAAAACTTGACAACCCATGTGTGTGAGTTTTCGTTGACGAGACTAAATAAAAATGTTTTTTGGTTGATCGGCCAGGCATTCATAATGCGTCATTGTGCTGTAATCTGTTAAACAAGCTAAACAGTATCAACCGTGCAGCCGTGTCTTGTTTGGTCATGCCGCTCACAAGGCGTGCAGAGATGTACATTCTGCATGACCACAGATGGATCATGGCAACAGAGTCAGGGGTGAAAATACTCCGAAATGGTCCGGAACTGAGCGCTCAACTCTGACAAACTCTGCTCTTCTGTGCTTGTGCAGAAATGCGACACTGCGGGCACATAGCTCCGACTGCACCTTACACTCCACACTGATGGTTCGCTCTCAGCAGTATGGCTTTTCCTGCCCTTGCTACTTAATAAACTAC